TAGATAGGAAAAATTTACTTGTTGAACATGGTGGCCGTACAGTCCGTATTCGTCCATTACCAATTGGTATTCCATTTGATCGATTTGTAGAAATGGCCGAGCAAGCACCCACAGTAATAAGTACATCATTACAATTGGTACTTGGAGTAGATCGATTGGATTATACTAAAGGATTAGTTCATAGACTAAAAGCTTTTGAATTATTGTTGGAGCGATATCCACAACATAAGGGTAAGGTAGCACTTATGCAAATCGCTGTACCATCACGGACAGATGTTAAGGAATACCAGGACCTTAAAGAAGAAATGGACCAGCTTGTTGGACGAATAAATGGACGTTTCACTACACCTAATTGGTCACCAATTAGATATATTTATGGGTGTGTCAGTCAAAATGATTTAGCAGCTTTCTATCGTGACTCAGCTGTAGCTATGGTTACACCACTTCGAGATGGCATGAATTTAGTAGCTAAAGAGTTTGTTGCTTGTCAAATTAAGGAACCACCTGGTGTTCTTATTGTATCACCGTTTGCTGGTGCTGGTGAAATGATGCACGAAGCTTTAATTTGTAATCCATATGAATTAGTTGAAGCAGCCGATACTTTACATAGAGCATTGACCATGCCTGAAGATGAAAGAATGTTAAGGATGAGGTGTTTGAGACGTAGAGAAAAAATACACGATGTTGATTATTGGATGCGATCTTTCCTTAAAGCAATGGGAACCTTAATATTTGAAGATGGAGATGATGTTTTACCAACTACTATGCAACCAGTCACTTTGCAAGATTTTGATGATTATTTGTCTAAGTAAACAGCGATTTTTTTATTATTATACATTATATAGTTTACTTATTATTTATTTTATTTAATGATTTATTTTGTATAGATATATCGGTAACACAAACAAACTTGCGTTACTATTGGATTATGATGGTACATTGGCTCCATTAGCTCCTCATCCAGACCTTGCTATATTGCCGTTAGAAACTAAAAGTGTCTTAGAAAGATTGGCCAATATGTCTGATGTATACATATCCATTATTTCTGGCAGAAATGTTCATAATGTTAAAGACATGGTTTGTTATTAACTGTTAAATTGTCTAATATGTACGCCAAAATAAATGGTTAAAATTGTTTTTATTAACATTAGGTTGGAATTGAAGGTTTGACTTATGCTGGTAATCATGGACTGGAAATTCTTCACCCAGATGGAAGTAGGTTTGTGCATCCAATGCCTAAAGAATATGAAGATAAAGTTGGAGATCTGTTAAAAGTGCTTCAAGAACAAGTAATTATAAATTGGTTTTTGATGAAATTATTCATGAAATTATTCATAGATTTATTTATTTTTATTTTTAGGTTTGTAAAGATGGTGCATGGGTAGAAAATAAAGGTACTTTATTGACTTATCATTACCGTGAAGTACCAGTAAATTCTCGACTAGAGCTTGCTGCCACAGCACAGCGTCTCATTGAAGAAGCCGGATTTAAAGCAGGTCAAGCTCACTGTGCAATAGAAGCCAAACCTCCAGTACAATGGAATAAAGGACGTGCATCTTTATATATTTTACGCACAGCTTTTGGTTTGGATTGGAGTGAACGCATACGCATTATTTATGCAGGAGATGATGTAACTGATGAAGATGCAATGCAGGTAATTTTTATTCATCTTAAAATAATTAGTATATTGGTTTAATTTTACTTATATTATTTGAAAGGCATTAAAAGGCATGGCAGCAACTTTCAGAGTAGCTCAGTCTCAAATTGTAAAAACTTCGGCTGAACGCCGTTTGCCAAGTACAGATTCTGTGTTGACTATGTTGAAGTGGGTTGAAAGACATTTTGGCAAACGATTACCTCGAGCAGATAGTATTGGTAATTTAAGCAACAATCTACAAATGTCATTAGGATCAATGCAAATGGAACTCAGTATGCCAGAAGAAAATCCTCCACACTAATAACCATTACTAGCAAATATTAGTGTTCTGAAACCTAAAGTTAGTCTTAACTCATTATTTACAGCGTACTAGTAAAAAAGTATTTTATATTGTGGTCGAATGAATCAATTTATAAAATTGAAGTAAATGTTCTATTTTTATACATGTATAAATAAATTATATTCATGTTTATAGAATGTAATGCCACAATCACAAACAATTAAATTATTTTATAAGTCAATTAGAAATTAATGAAATACGTATTAATGTTAAATTAGAAAACATAATTAAATGATTCAAAAAAAGAAAACAAAATAATACTCACAGGTCTTCTACATTCCTTACATTTTTTAACTTTTCAGTGTTTTATGATTTAATCATTAAACAATTTAATTATCTATGTATTAATATATGATTATTTAAGTCAAAAATGTATTCAGTATTGAATGATCAAAAAAAATTAATGAATCATTTGTTATTATCATATTGTACTTTTAAATATTTTAAGTTATGTCGTAATCCTAGTCAATTGAAAGATTGAAAAATTGGAATAATGTGTAGCAAAAAAAACTTTAATATAGTAAAGATAAAATATCAAAATTAAATACAAAGTAATTAAAACTTCATTAAGTGGAAAACTAAAATAAAAAAAAAAAAAAAAATGTTATATTGTATCATCATAAGTCATAACACTCATAACTATTGTGCCATAATCTAAAATGATATTTGTAATTGGGTAATTTTTATGTAAAATCTGTTTTATTTTTGTTGTTGTATTATAATACATATATTATTATGCCAGGTTGTGTATGAATGATTACTAAACATTTAATGAATAAGTAGTGTGCGAATAGTCCCTTAATTATGATTTAGTGTTGGTCAATAAATATTTATGCAACCCGGCAATATTATGCTAATTGTTAAATTGTATTTTTACCTTTAATGAATGGTGTTTCATACACATTTTATTTTTAATTATTTAGATATTTTAAGGTAAAAAACACTTAGTGTATTGTTTATTATAATATATTTTCGGTTAAACATATCATGCGTTTTATTTTATTTTGAATGTTGCACTGTTATTTTTATTTATTTCTTGTGTACATTTTGTTGTTATATAGTAATAAACTTATGATTGTTTAGTTAAACCATTATAGTTTATTATATAAATTTAACTAAAATACAATTTTAAAATAATATGCAGTGCATTCGAATTCTAATATTTATCATCAATTTACTGTGTTTTTCACATAGTGATTAAATCTTAAGTTAATATATCAATAGTGGTAGATACCAATAAATTGATACAATTATCAATCTACTCAATAGATAAAGATCATTTGTTCATTTCTACATATTTTTTAGCAATTCTTACAATAACCTCACAATGTTGTTAATTGGAAATGTATAATGAACGCAGTTTTATTTTTCTCTACTTGGTTATAATTTGAATCACCTTAAGTTTGTTATTATTTGTACTATCATTTATAAGTAATTTAAATTATGGTGGAGAGCATAGTCAGATATTGAGCATAACCCTCCCCCAAGGATGTTTTATAACCTCTTCCCTAGAAGGTTTAGTTAGATATAGATTTAAAACATTAAAATAAATACATTATAGTTTATTTATTTTCATTTATATGTTGCAACATGTTTGAGGAGTTAAGCAGTGATATGAAGGTTAAAGCTTGCTTAATTTTGATAATAAGTTAAGTCCCCACACACTTGACCAAATATCTGCCAATGGTGGTCAGTCATTAAATTTTTTAATTTTTTTATGCAGTTGTAGTGAATTAACACTTATCACAATAAATATGGACCAAATATATAAAATTATAAGTAATTTTATAAAAGAGATAGGTATCAAGTTTAATCAGATATTCACAATGTACATTAAAATTTAAAAAATAAAATATTATTTTACATTACAAGATTAACCTATATTTTATATTTTACATATTATAATATAAATGAAAAAATGAGATTGAGTTTCTTTAAAATCTATTTATAATTTACTAATCTTCAAATTGAATACTTTCAATGTTTATTCCAGTAAATATTTCACATTGTTTGTTGATCAGTAGTACGACACTGAAACAATAGTTATACATAAATAAAAAATTAAGTACAAATACATTATGCAAGCTAATAATAGAATATTGGAAAATGCAATTGTATGTATTTGTAAAATATGCTAATTAAATATTTAATCACATTATGGTCTTATAAGTACATTTAATGAATATAATAATTGTTTATTGACAATATTTAAAAATAAATAAAAAAATACAGGGGTTTATAATGAATAAAGCTTAATGGATATTTGTTAATAATAACCAGTTTAACTATCAATTTTATCTTTACTTACAATAAGTTTAATAATATGACCATTTAAATGTTTTATGCAAAATTTCATTTTTTTTTTTTTTATAAATCACTTAAATAGTTCTAACAAAAATGATAGTATTTAGCGGTGCTCGTTATCATATTAAGATCTTGGTAGGTACCTACTCGGGGTCTGAATAAATTATTTTTCATATATCAAAAATGCTTTACATAATATACCATCTTTAAATGATTTTTTTCTTTTTAATTACAGAAATTTATTTTCAAACAATAAAATACTGATGGTTAACATAAAAAATGTCAAGTTAATGAATTACTACACACATTTATATTTCAAATAATTCACTAATGCATATATATTGATTGTATTCAATTGTATTAACTGATTAAATAATATTCAATAATATAACAGTAGTATGAATATTATTTTAAAACTAAATCCCAATAAATTCCTCTTAAGTTCAGAACTTTAAGTCAAAAACAGGCAATAAGCAATAGTTATTACTGTTATTGTTATTACTGTTATTAGTATATTTTGATCAAGAAATACGTTTCAGAATAATCTGCACTCTGCAGGTAGGAGGGGACGGTTAAACATTCTATAAATAAAAAAAAAAAAATTATCTACATCATAATTATTGTCATGTGTACACGCCCACGGTACAACCACAACGGCATCAACTATACCTTTTTGTCAACGGATCCACAGTGTGAACGACACCTTTGGACGCGTGTTGTTGTTTAGTACGCACAACAACAGTTCTTCCGACGAATTCCTTGAGACTTGTCGCATCCATCGAGGTAAATGTACTTGAATCACTCATTACAGTTGACAATGTAATTTTTCACAATCTAATTATTCACCGTTCAGTGATCGGTACTTCATTAACAATACTTTTAAGGTTTCTTTCTTTATTTTATTTTAAAGTTTAATAGTAGGCATTGACATCAAAATATATTTAAATACTAACCAGTAATCACTTAACCCATTAGGCAGTAGGTATTATTTAAGTACTAACTACTAAATACACTATGACTAAAACCAATAACTATTGAAATATTGCAAGTGAATTTACCCAGTGAATCACGTGACTTGGTTAACGTTGAGTAATGGCCAGTAAATAATTACAATCCGTTGTTTAGCCGTTATCGCCAATCCTATATAATATTATCATTTATCAGTAAACTATTAACAATCCGTCCATTCCGTCCATAAAACCTATAGATAATAGAAGTAATCTTCTAACTGTTCATAATGTATATTGTAAATTTTAGCACGATTGGTATACAGATTTAAATTATTTCGTATAAATTTCACGATTTTCATGATTATTAAGTGTATAGTTAATAGTTTGATGTTGGAAACGCGTCAAATGCGCGCCAAAAAATATAATAGTTTAAAAAAAATCACTTTCAGTATTCAAAAATGTACGTTAAATCATTAAGTGATGAATATGATAAATTAAATTTGTTCTAGCCGGGACGGTTGATGATAGTGACACTCGGTGCATTGAAGAGCCTGCAGACCATTACAAAATTCTTAAATTCTTGTACAAACTATACAAACATAATTTATTTTAAATATAACTAAATCAAAAGTGTATAACATTTATGTATTATAAAAATCACTAAAATTAATTATATTGTATAGTCGTGTCTTGCGTTACTACCACATAATTATAGTTAATTATGTTAGCAATCATAGTAGTTGTACATAATGATAGTACCTTTGACTCATCATGGACATTGGTAATTATAATACAGTTATTACAGCCTATATAGTCTCCTATAGAAGCAAGATTCCTAAAAAATCAATATTCAAAATAAGCAATGGAGAATGTTTCCCCCCTTTTTACACACACTTGCTATGGTCCTAAATAGAGTTTAGTAGTCAATCACAGGGCATCCTGTGAAATTAAAGTTGAAAATGAGTCACAAGGTCAAAACACCCCTCCTGTCATTAAAAATAACTATCAAATGTAAATAATAAAATATTAAACATAATATTTATAAATATTTATTTTACGAAAGGCATAGGAGCGTAGTTATGAATATTTTATATTAGAAGCGAATTCTTTTAAAATATCGATACCGTTATTCCTTATTCTTTTTTCATGCTTAGTTTTATAGTAAATTTTAAATCTCCTCGTACGAGAAAAAGAATCAATAATATTTTGTTGTCGTGCGTTTGCTACTATTTTTATGAAAACTGGAATAATCAATATGAAAATATTGATATATAGGTAATATTATACTTGTTATATTACCTATATGATAAATTTTAAATATACACAATTATTTGTTACCTATTATATTATACATATTGAACGTCTGATAATGATTTTTTTTTCAAGGACTTGACTTAAATGTCAAAGTCCATGGAGGGGGACTTAGCTCCCTTAACCACTTATATTTACGCCAATGGTTTTGAAAATCTTTCAAGGAGGGGGTAATTCATTGTGCAATGAGAGTTGTGATACACTCAGCGAAGTATTTTTCTGTGTTGGGACTTGAGAGGTAACATTACTAGGTATATGTAGTAAAATGTGTTTTACCATTAAGGCAATAATATACCTATAATGTATTTTAATAGTTAGTTGTCTTAAAATATTTATAGTATATTCCTATATGTGAAGAAACGTTTATTTATTTACAACATTGGAAGTTACAATGTAACTATCATGTTTTATTATTTTAATGTATAGTGTATAATTTATTTATCTATTAATATAATATATTATACTGTGTGTTCTATGTTAAAGGTAATATGAAATATTTTGAATTTTTGAAAAATTTAAATAAAAAAAAAATTTTTTCCACACATGTACAACTAAACAAAATGTTTCTGAATTTTACTTATTCCTTTTGAGTTCTAATTTGAATTAAATCATTTTTTTAAACAATTTACCACACATTTTTTTTTTTTTTTTTAATTGACTTATTAAGAGTGAGTCAAAGTTTCGAATTATGTATGTTAAATTTATCGTTTATTTTTAATAGTAGGTACCATATAGATAGTGGTAGGCATTTGAATACTATAAAGTAGGTACCAGGTTTTTGTATACTCGTTCTTGGGTAGAATGAGAATAATGAAATGGTGGTTAATAATATTTTTATCAACTATTGTTAAGACTATCTATTTAAATATTGGTATGTGTAGATTGGAATAAAAAGTATGAGGGAAAAACTGTCAACGTAAAAGTAGAACTTTTTAAAAAACATAGTGAAAATTTGAATAATTTTTAACGAACAATCATTAAATTTAATATTTATAATAGTTAGATATATACATATCTATATACCTAATTGTTAAAATTGGTAGAAAATTTGTGTATTTGTATGGATGAGTCAAACTTCAATTTTTATGAACTCAAACTCAAATTCATTTTTTACTCGAACTTATTGAACATTTTGATAATTAGATAACGACATACCTAGTTATAAAACCAATGAAGGCCATTTGAAAAACAAAAAAAGTATTGAGGGTACGCTTGTATATTATATTCAATGTAAATTATATATTTATAAACAAGTATTGTCAGTATCGATATCGAACTTCAAATACTTCAATACTTGATTTGTTTCAAACTGTTCGAAAAGTTTGGGGTATTCATGAGTTCAATAAGTTTAAGGGTTCTTGCCTAAAAAAAAAACCAATGCAATAGAGTTTAAATGTAAAATCTAAGAGTATATCTGCTAGTATTGAGTCGATTGCGTATTTTGGCAATCTAATAGTTATTACCATTTACCATAGTCCATAATCAATAATCATGAGCACAGGGTATGCAGAGTATATTATGCATTTGTATATTTTTCGAGTTGAGGGAGACATTTTTGTAGATGATATGTGATTAAAGGTTCCTATTTCGCATGTTTTTTTACAAAACGATGTTAAAGGCTGTGTACATAAAATACACGGGTAAATGAACATTGAAATCTGTGTACTCGTGTACTTTTTTTCAGTCGTGTACCTGTATGACCAAAATCTTAAAATGTCATTCTTTAGAAAAATAAGCATAACACACATGTAGCACAATAACCGATATTTACGGTTTAATTGTGTAACAATAATCGTGAAATTGTATTCTTTTCAATAAACATAATTTACTAAAGATATGCTTTTGTTTTTCAACCTAAAACAGTGATGAAAATGCTTTATATTCTTAATAAAAAGCAATAATAATAATAATAATGTTAACTATGAATATTTTTATGACAATAGTATGAGCATTTATATTTTTAGGAAGTATATTTTATCAGCTATCACATACACCTTGCGACTTGTTTGTTTACGCCTTTATAGTATTACTTATTAGTATTACATATTACAATTTACAAATAATAGATTTACTATTCTATTTTTTTTTAAATTTCTCTTATTTACTTTAACTTATACTTATATTCATAATATCATTAAACTTGTAATATTATTATAATACACTTATATATATATATATATAATTATTAATCAATATTATTTAGCTTAGATTTATCACTATATAGTCTAAATCTACGAGCATACAACATATTTCATACATGATACCTACATTAAAAAAGTATTGTTCTTAAAAATAAGCAGAATCTAAACAAATATATTATTTTATATTATATTACTTAATCGTATTAGCAATATAAGTAGATATCTACTTACTTGGTTTATTATACTATTGTGTTCTAAACACTTATGACAGTTATACTAATTACATAGAAAATCTAATAATTACTAATTTATTTTCTGAGCAGTGGGTGCTTAATTTATTTATCACAAAATAAATAGAATATAGGTACTATCTTCTATTAGCATACGCAATAGGTATAATATGCAGGTTTACAATTTTAAGTATTATAGTATAAATATATACAAACTTATTGTTACTATTAAACTGATTAGGTATTTTCTTATGTATCTAATATTATAAACAGGGTGACTCAAAGCTCAAGGTATTCGTTTTTATAGATTCTAAACAAAAGTGTGAGAGTTATCCCGATTTTTCAGTTATTAATAAATACCTATATTATTGTTCTTTTTTTTTTTTTATTTGGTGAATAGGTAATATTAATTTTTTTATAACTTTGTTTAAATATTTGGTATATTTCTACTGTTAATTAATTCAATAATACTAAAAAAAAAAATAACAATTTTAACTTCCAATTTCATTATACATGCCATATGGTATTTATAATATATATATAAATTTATGAATAGCCATTAGTATTAAAACTATGATAGCTCAACAATTACTAAAGGTGAAAACCGATAATATTAATTAAAGTTTATTATATAATAAAGCCAGCGTCTAATATAAAATAAATTACAATTTTAATATGGATTTTGTATTGAGTATTGAGTAGAGATTAAAAGAAATATTGAGAGTTTTAAGTAAGTTCATTAAAATTAGGCGTTTAGCCTGCAGAACAGAACAATAAAATAAAATATGGGAAAGGTCACAGATATATTCATTTCAATTAAGTGTACAGAAAGGTGAATCATTTAGGCCGAGTTTAAATGGGTAGTAGATTATGTTCCACTGTCCCATAGATAGTCCATGTCTTAAAATTGTGTGTATCTATTCTATGACACACTTTGTGTAGGTATATAGTACAAAAAATAAAATGTGTGTACCTACTACGAAATTCAAAAGTGTGTAGCTAATAATAATATTTTTTTTTATATTATTACTATTCATTTTACATAATTTGTTATAAACGTTTAATTAAAATAAAGTGTATCCTAGTAAGAAAAAAAGATAATTTTAGGCTCTAATTTTGAGATCCATACGTCACCAATTGAATTGAACTATATGTATGGTCTATGTAAGACGTAAGTGTAAGTAAGTTATTGAGTCATGTTATTTTAAGTATATTAAGTGTAATATTTCTATATATCGAGGCGAAGCCCGCAGGAAGGTATTGTTCTAGTGAGAGGTCCATAAGTTATAAGGTGTATTGTTTTATCAAAGGGGTGAAATTAAACCGGGGTAGCTGAATAAAAGAAGGGAAAATAAGATTAGATGTAGATTTTGTTAAGTTGTTGGCAATCTCGTTGCCGTGTATCTCAATATGACAATATGTATAGTGAATCTAGAGAAAGTCATAGTTTGATTGAAATAGGTAGAAATAAGTGATTTAATGCGTGAAAAACAAGTGTAGATAGATGAGAGTTAAATGGGTTGGAATTTAAGGATTGAAGGTACGGCATGGAGGTAATTAATTAATTATTAGGAGCAAAATTTAAAATTAGTGTAATTTAAATTTAAGCCTCAGTAATAGCATAGCACTCGGCTGTGAAGGAAGAAGAAATTTATAATATTATATGTACCTATGTAAATATTCAACTGACTCACTTATTTATATTCTTTTTAGTTTATATAACTATATACCTACATGAATATTAATTATTGCAATCAATTTATGCAAATTTTATGGTAGGTACTTAAAGTAAGTTCATAATAGAATTATTTATTAAAATAGGTATTATTGATACATTGTATCTACTTAATTATATACCTATGTAATATATGTAACATAAATCAAACAACTTGAAATTATTATTGAATTATGAATACCAATTTTTTTAATATTTTTTTATGGATGTAAACCTTTTTTTATTAATGTATATATATATATATATATATATCGACGTTTAAAAAATAAGTTTATAGATAACTTACCTAACAACAAGGTCATATACATTAATTTGCAATTATTTTATCATTTTAGAGTAGCCCGCGATATGTATTTTTAGTTTTTACAACCTAATTATTTGTATTTATGATGACTTTTCTATGATATATTAATGCACATATTATCTCCATCATATACAAAAAAAATATTTTGAATAATTTAAATGTTTGTAACACATATTTTAATATGGTTGTGGCGTAAATAGTTAAGGAGTTAGGGTTCGGAAATATAGCACTTCTAAATCATTACAAGCTCCCTCAAATAATTCACAAATGATATAGGTACCTTTAAACATACTTCATACATTTCTCTTAACTTTTACTCCTACAGATTTTTAATATAAACTATTATTTATATTATACAAACAAAATAAATCAGACTAATTAAAGCAACCCTTGACGATAATATTGTATAATTTGTATATTTACACCATTGTTGTGGGTACCTAATTACTATTTATAAATTATAGAAAGATAATTCATTATAATTTATTATTCAATTAAACAATTACTTCAGAAAAAGATAGAATTAATAACTAAGTATATATAATAATAATAATTATTATAACTGTTTTTACAGCAAAAATGACTGAAAGTAATAAACAAACCGTTAAATGGAGAAGGCACGAGATTGAAGAAAAAATTGGATTAGATCAATGTAAGTCAATTTTTAATTTATATAGATTAAAGTATGTTTATTTATAGGTAAATATTATTATTGTATAGTCATATCAAAAATTGTTTAGTGTAGGACTACAGGAGATTTAAGTTTTTGTTTTAAAAATTGGTTTATATAGATATATTATGTACCTACTTAAATGATAATATACTACCGTGTATGATGACAAATTGACACAATGTTTATTGATTTCGTTTCTTTACTTCTTCAAACATTGATTTAACTAACTTAAAGTTAAAATTTTCAATTATTTCTATTGTGAATATAAGTACTAGTATTTTTGACAATTAGGAAAATATAGCTTTGGAGATCTTCACCCGGGTTCATACTTATTGGGTTGGAGGGCAGTATCAAGAGATTGGGCTCTTGTACTTTTTACTTAAATTTAGGACCTTGTGTATGGTAATATAAATAAGTATAACCCATCAATCTAATCAAGTTTTGAGAATATATGATGTCTAAGGTGTACCTATTGGTTTTATGATTTTACATTGAGCTGATGGTGGAGCAATTGGTCAATAAGCAGCAGGGAATATGTATGATTATGGTTTTGTAACATTTTATATAATATAATTTTATATTTGTATTTTGTCTCTATTTTCAGTTAAAAACAACCAATTATGGACTGGAAATTTTTATTTTGTGGTTGTGGCTGACAGTCAATTTGGTTACAATCCTACTGTATCTACAGTACGAGGTTCTAAAGATTGGAAAGTAAAAATGGATAAAGCTATTTTTGCAATAGATAAAATTAATAAATTGTCTCCGAGACCTCAATTTTTAGTTGTTTGTGGAGATTTAGTTAATGAAATGCCTTATAGTTAGTTGAATTTATTAAGTTTATTGAATTTAGTATAATTTAATTAATGATTCATGTATATTTTTTGTGTGGCAATTTATCCATACCTACTTCAGACGAAGCTGTGCTAAATGAATTACAAGTAAATGATTTTAAGAAAATTTTCTCAAACTTACATCCTTCTATATCTCTGATTTGTGTGTGTGGAAATCATGATATTGGTGATATGCCAGATGAAAATTCAATCAACAAGTACAATTATATTAAAATTAGTTTTTTAATATTTGTTGATAAATAATTGCAATTTTAGATATCGTGATAATTTTGGCCAAGATTATTTTTCATTTTGGTGCGGTGGAGTACTATTTTTAGTATTAAACTCTCAATATTATAAAAACAGTTGTGATGTCGAAAAATATGCAGCAGAACAAGATCAATGGTTAACTGAAATATTGAGTAAGCACAAGGGTCAAAGAATAATTGTATTTCAACACATACCGTGGTTTTTAAATAAAATAGAAGAGAAAATTCCAAAATGCAGTATTGAAAAAAATGTTAGCGAAAAAATGCTTGAAAAACTATATAAAGCTGGTAAAGAATAACAAATAGTACTAGAATATTTTACTAAATTATCAATGTAAAAAAATAATACTGAGAAGAAAAATTATTTGTGTTTTATGTAAATGCTATTTGGAATCAAATGTTTTTTTTGTGTTTGTTTTTAGGTGTATCTCATGTTTTTTCTGGTCATCATCACATAAACTCAACTGGTTTCTATAAAGACCTTGAAATAGTTATTACTTGTGCACTTGGAGCTCCAATAGGAGAAGATCCTTCTGGACTAAGAATAGTCAAAATGTATGAAAACAATGTTATACACACATATTATCCTTTAGAACAGATACCAAGTTCTATTATAAATTAAAATATTTAGTATAATTTGAAATTTAATAGCATATAAATCAATACAAATGTTGATAAAGAGGCAACATTAATTTTATTTTATAATATTGATCAATAATAATGATGATGTATGTCAATTAAATAACATTAGTTTATTGTTAAATAAAAATACAAATAATATTTTATTTTTATACAGAGTCATTTTTTTTTCTACAATTTTTAAATTGATCCCAAGGATGTAATTCTTCATCGACAGTTACCTCTAATAACCATTTTTTATAAAAATTTTGAAATTTTCTGTATCCTTCTTTGAAGTAATAACTTTGAATAAAATCTGGAACATCTTTTTCTCTATTTTGCTGAAAATTGTACAAGATGTAATTATATTCATAATTATATTAAACTTTTAATATGATTAGAAACACTAATATTTTTGAATTGAAATTGAAATTTATTTGTGATAATTATTAAGTTAAAAAACATGGTTTTAATGAAAAGAGTATAAATATGTTTGTTAGTGGTCATCCAGTGTAATTTTAAATTACATTTAGAAGCTATCACAATATTTAAAAAAAATGTATAATATATTAAAGATTTTACTCAAGATTTCAGTGGTTCATTTTAAAGTTATTTTTTTTCTATTATCTTTAAAAGTAGTTATGCTACTAAAACATTTAGTTAAACTATAAATAAATAAATACATTTTACAATAAAACAAAATACTCATGGTTCAATTTATTAAATAACTGCTTAGTGCTTTTACTTACTCTTTTTTTGATTAAATCTTTAATTGTGTTATCAAAACGATTCAAACGATCCATAAATATTTTATTGGGTTTAATTTCTTCATGTTTAACCATGTTCATAACATAAATAACATATCCAAAATTAAAACGGTAACATGATTGTGCCAACATTGTGCCCAAAATTTCTGCATTCACTCTTACATTGGATAAAAAAACAAATAAGAATAAAAATAACATAAGTATTTTACAAACATACCGAAATCCATGATCTGCTATGATTTTTATGAGGTTTTTAGCTTCGTTCTTATTTTTACAACCCAATGCCAGAACACCAAAAGTTACAATATCGACACTCAAGTTTTCTGAATTAATTAAGCTTAATACATTCTAAAAGTTAAAAATAAGACTACAGTAATTTATATAAAATATATATTATTTGAATGATTATATATAACCTTTGCTTCTTCATAATCAAATCTAAGACTTCGTTTTTTAATGAGAATATTGCAAAAATCAATGTCAACTCTAACTTTATTTTCATAAATTTCTTTTAATAAGACCTAAAAAAAAATATAAATTAGTGATTATATAAGTTTCTTTTTTAAATAATAATTATAAAATATACTTAAAATGAAATATTGTATGTATTAACTTTATTTAGTTTTTGTAATATTTGAATGTTTTTTATTAAAACATCAAATAAAATGTAAATTACTCTATTAAAGATACTTCAATTTAGAAAATTGATTTTTTAACATAACTCACTTTTTCAGCTGATAATGTTGGCGGTATAACTTCCAAAAGCTGGGTGAATATTTTAATGTCAGGCTTTATCTTATTGATTTTCATGTTCTTTAAAAATCCTAAACAACCCCCTAATAATATTAATCTAAAATTCATAAAAAAAAAAAAAAAAAAATGCAACATTAATTATTAATGTATAAAAAAATTACAAATATGTTTTACCTTTCTTCAGGAGATTTAATTTCAGAAATTCCCACAATATTACCAAAACAAGGTTTAACATCTAATAGATTTGGTCTATTCTCCTCAATAAGAGATAAATAATTTTCATTATCATTACTTAATAATGTTTTAGGTATATCCTTTTTTGAAGTATTTGATTCTTCGAGTTTAGATTCAGTTGTTAATAAATGAGGATCATTAATTATTTGACCAATAACTTTACGTGTTTCAAATTCATCACCAAGACTACATTCTCTTGTGCATTTTAATAAAAGATTGTAAGTATATAATGAAGGGCGAACACGTTTTAATATCATTTTTCTCCAAACCTGAAAAATTTTCCATATAGTTGAGCAATAAGCAGTAAGATTAAGAGACTATGAGACTAGGTATAAATGAAAAGTTTTAGTTTATGATTAGACACACATTTTTAAATACTCAAGTTTTATGTAATATACCTATATTAAGTTTTAATTTTTCTAATGGATAAATTTATTGTTTGTAAAACTACATCTGTTGGTACTAGTCAACCACTTCAGTACAATACATTTTTTTTTTTTTTTAGTGTCGGTTGGAGTGGGTCCTGTAACCAACAAGCAGTAAATTTATAGGTTACTATTATAAAAAGGTTAGAAAACACTGTGGTAGACCAACAGTTAGTCTTGGTAGGGGTAGAACATAAATAGATGTTGCCTTGCAGTGCCGTAACTACCCTCCGTGGCGCTCTTGGCAAATTTTATTTTGGCGCTTATTTTTGTTAAAAAAACCAATTTTAATTGAACTCAAATGCGCCCCTTACTTTAATGCGCCCTTGGCAAGTGCCCATGTTGCCAACCTCTAGTTACGGAACTGTTGCCTAGTAACCGTTTAATAAAAACTGGTTCCCACTAAGTTGACTATTTAATTTGAATATAGTATAAGTATTTAATTTTTGGTGATCAGTTAAATAAAACTTTCTTCACTTACAAAGAGTGGAATGAGATTCAGAGGAAATCAAATTGTGAATAATATTAAGTATTTTTGAAGGGTCACAAGACTCTTAAAAAGACAGATTAAGTATTTTAAAGGACCTAAGATTATAAGTTATTAAAATAACTAAAATTTAAATGGTAAATTAAATTATGTAAAATTGACACTACACCTTAAAATTTTAATACATTGTATACATTTATTTAAACTTACAAGTAAGGCATGTCGAAAACCAGCTTCTTTATCAGTTATACATGCTTGTAAGAGAAAATTAAATGTTTCATCTTTTAATTTATATTTTTTTGTCAACATTTCATCAACCAAAGAGAATGCAGTCAATAAATCTCCTGTTCTTCCAAACGCTTTTTACAAAAAAACAACAATAAATATGAATAATGAATAGTAAAAACATAATTTTTTAGCATAATAAAATTAATTAATTTCAATATACTTTATTTAAAATAAAAATTTTTAGTTAATTTTTGTTTCTCATGAATAAGTAATATAATTTTAAATACCTTTAATCATTGCATGGTAGATAAAAATGTTGGGTTCAATTGATTTTAAGTTCATCAGATTATGTAATTTTTTAGCTCTCTTTAACGCATCATCCTTATAAGGGGAATTAGCACACGCATTAAATAAACAAGTATATGTAGCTGGTGTAGTTTTAATGCCGCTTTTTTTCATCTAATTATTTAAACAAAAATTAAATAATTTTGGAAATAAATACCTAGTTATAAATAAAACATACCTGGTTAAATAAATGAAAAGCTTTTTCAACATAACCGACTTTACCACAAGTGCCAATTAACAAGTTATAAACATAATAATCAGGTTTTGCTTTTTCATTTTTTAACATCCTTGATTCAAGTATATCTATTGCATCTGCAATCTAAAAAAATCATAAGTAATAGTAAAAATTGAGAAAATAAATATCAGATATTTTAGTTTCATACTTTATGCTGTTTAATGAGTTCTTGAATAATTTTGTGGTACTCAGTAATATGTAATCTTTTGTGTTGTTCATCTTTATCGTATTCTATTTTATCATCATTTTCTGGAGGTAAATGATCCAATTTATAATTAATTTCAGTATTTTCAGTTAATGTTCCAAAAATATCAGCATCAATATTTTGTTCAGCATTAAATGAAAATGTCTCTGTTTTTTTTCGAAAATCTTTTGACTGTAAATCTTTGACCGTGGACACACATCTTACATTTCTACAACATTGCTGGTTATAATTTGAACTTACAGACTTAATATTAATTAACTGTCGTAAAAACCGGTTGATCACAATCATCTGAAATTAATAAATCTATTAATATAAACTATATATTAATATACAGTATTCTAAAAATATAATATTTAAGTAACATGTTTATAGGTACATTGTGATTTCTTATTTAGTTGAATTCTTAATTCACATTGAATTTGAAACTGTAAGAAATTATTATTTACATTAAATTAAGTTTTTAATAAAATTGAATTTATTCATTGTGGAATTTAATAACTATGTATTATTAAATATTTACAACTGAGAACCGACTATCAAATCATGTACATGACTCACATCACAGTTTTTTTTAAATTTGAATATTATACTTGTAACTTCATAAATTTAATATTATAATAAAAATTAAAATAATTAAAATACAAGTAGTCTATACTCTATAGATAATAAGTATTATCTATCCATGTGGTAGTGTCGGCGAAGCTTAGATCATATTATCACAACTTTATACTATGCGGTGAAGATAGCGTAGTGATACCACAGAAAGAGATTGGTATATGCTATTGATAAGATATAAATTAAATACTGATATTATTTATATTAAGTTGAGTTTTACTAAATGTATTGGGATTTATTTAGGACCATTATTAAATATTGTTTACATTTAAAATGTTTATACATGAAAAGTCTCTATGAATACATTTTTCAATTATTTTGTCTTGTTGACTTATTTTCTACTTATTTTGTTGTATAGATTTATTAATTTTTATTAATGATTGGTTACCTACTAATCTACTTTTTACAAATATGTATAGGTACCTAAGTAAAATAATTAATTTAATTCTTAAAATATTATACAATAGTAATGTTACCAATGTCTTAACAGTAGAGCCTTAATTTTAACCATGTTATTACTTATTACAATTATTCAATAACTACCTATATAATTTAATTTTTTTTAATAAAAATTAACAAAAACAAAATTATGACTTGTATAATAGTAGGTACCTCCTTAAATGTCTTAAATGTCACATTCTGCTGCGTAATTAATGTATCTTATCGGTAATGTCATATTTAATAGTAAATTTTTTTTTACCTTAAAATAATACTTGTTTATCTAATTTACATCTTACTAAACAATAAACATATTCAATATATTTTATTGTACCAGTAACCAGTATGAATAAATAGTAGGTATTATAACATTCTTTTAACTTTTTACATGTAGTTATAATTCTATTGCACTACCTATATAAACGTAAATTGCAATTTTTATTTTTTAACATATTTTCTTTAGTAACTTTTTATAATTCTTGATAATAACATGAACTAATTCATTTTAAAAGGAAATTTCTCATCGCTGTCAAAGTTTGATCAATTGTTTTTTCGATGCAACGATTTTAACACATAAATTAATTTAAGTTTTAATTACCTCTAAGATATGAGTATATATATATATATATATATATATATAATTTACTTTTACCCTTTCAAACTTTTTTACTCTCATAGTGATCAATTTTTAATAAAAAGTGATTTTTTGAAATTATTATTGAGGCAATGAGGCTATAATAATTTTACATTGCTATGGCCTACAACTTATTGTTTTCTCCATGATGTGTGCTATTTTACAAAGTAAGCCAATAGTAATTTTTTCAAGTAATAAATTCCCTTGTTCCATAAAAAGTTTTAAATATTAGTTTAAAGATTATTTAAATTTACATGTTTGATTATTGATCAGAGTAGCCAGACCTGCAAACACGCCTGTGGTTCAGGTAAAAAATAGTTTTCCAAAAAAAGCAGCAAAGCATTATAATGATAATACAGGAATATTTGGAAAATGACAATGTAAATAAATAATAAACATAAGTTAATAGTTGTGTTAAATAGATATAAGCAAGTTTTTGTTAAAAAACGTAGATTTGTTTGGTTGGTAATAACTAATAATAATAACAACTGTTGAATACTATTATGTTGTTATAGAGAGTAGTATTTATTTGATGGAAAAATAATAGAATAAAATATCTAGAAAAGTTAAAATTTTAAAGTTTTTTAAACGATTATATTTTTAAGATAAATTTTGAGTAATTCTAATTCTTTACAGCTCACAAAATAATGGATCTACGAAAAAAATGTGCCTGTATTGTATCTGCAAAAAAATGTTTGTTTGATAAAAATGAATCATTCAAAAATTGTACTGTTAAAAATCATATCAGGTATTATTAATAGTTCTAAATACAAAATATATTGTACCTACGATAGTTTCTTCAAAATATTAAATAATACACACGTAACAGTGATGACACATTTTTAAGTTTATCAGAATTTTTATTTCATATTTTGCTAAAAAGCATCTTAGAAAATGAATATAGGAGGGCAATTTATCTGAACAATTTTGTTTATAAGAAATTTGTGGTTTTACGTTTTATTTTAAATTTTATAAGTTAATTATTTTTGTGAATAATTGTTAGAAGTTTTAACAGATTTTATATTTATTTAATTTAATATGTAATATACTAGACCCATTTACTTTAAGTTATTAGTAATATTTAAATTATAATAGCATTAAATTAAATTATTTCAAATCATTTTACTAGATTGAAGTATTTAAAAATTATTAAGACCATGAATCATGAATAAAAAACAATATGCCACATTAAATATATGTTATTAAAATTATAAAATTTTGTAGTTTACTAAAGTGAACTTGAATTCTAAATGGTTCGAAAAAATAGATTTATATAGTAATATACATTTACTTATAAAATAATAATTAATATACTGCAGTTTAGCAGTTACTTGACTAAATAATTAAAATTGAAAATTTATATTGAAGATAACTTTGTTAGAAGCTCGAAAAGTAATCATTAGTTAAACTGTCATAACTTTTTGAATAATAATTTCCGTATTTATTAATTTAATATGTTTTATTATAATTTACCTAATATTAAATTATCAGTATTAATGCAATATTTTTTTTCATTCTTAAAAATAAAAAATATTTACGTTTAATTTTTTTTTATTATACATATTAATATTATATTTTTTCATAAAATTAAATTACTTTATAAGATATAACATATTGGCTGAATTTCCCAATTTAGCCTTTAAGATATGGGATGAGTAATTTATCTTGCAGAATTTGTGTTTAGTCAAATTTACAACACAGTTGGGTTCATAACTATAATTATCGACGTCCTTCGTCTCTTGGTTATTGTACCAGATACAATGTACCTAGATATAAGAGTACACAGCCAAAAGTCGGTTTAGAGTGTAGACATTAAATTTAATCATAATTAACTTTATTTTCAAGATGATGTTTTATGTGTTCCAAAGGTATTACTTTTTTTTTTGAAATTCATTTTGAAAATACACTTATAGTTAAGCAGTGGTATTCTGCAGTGGGTACTTATATGTGCATATATATTTTAAGCTTATTCGTTCTCACGTATGTTATTGATATCTATTCTCACTTTTGATTTTAGGTACTTATGGAATAAAATAAAAATAAAATACACCCCAAGTAATATTAGTGCATTATTAATTACATTTTGATTGTATTCAGTATTCTAAATATATTTAGTTAATTTAAATATTTATATAATATTATTCTCAAAGTAGTTTAAAATAAGTAGATAGTAGAGTTATTAAAATATCAATATTATTTATACAATATGCTCCTCCCTCATAAAATATGATATATTTTTTGGTAAGAGTGTTTTTATGATGTATTAAATTTAATGTAGTACCAATTTTTTGTTTTAGGTAGATGCTAAAAGTTTAAAATTACAACGCTTAAAAGGAATGCCTGGATACTAGATACTTCAGATAAAATAAGATATGAGATTAAAAATGTAAACTAAAAAGAGTAGTAACTAGTAGTTAGTCATTAGGTTTTATTTCGTATCTATTATTTACAAAACATTATATTGCAGTATTCATGAATATTTATTAAATAGTTTAAGTTGAATAAATATAATATGCGTTTTTGTTATCTAACGTTATCAGTTGATAATTTTTAAGAAAGATTGCAATGTTGATTATTGTTTATGAAGTAATAAGTATCAATAGGTTGCTTATAATAGGTACTTATATAATATACGACGTCCTTGATGCAGTATATCTACTGATGTTTATTCACTGAATTTAAATTGTATACTTCCAGTTTATTGATTTTCGTTGGAAATATGAATTTTTTTGAGTTGCCTGAGGAGAACTACTTATTGGTTTTAAAATTAAATATGCTTTGTTTTTGTGTTCTTCAAACACTTATATGAGTATCACAGTGTATTTACTTATTGTTTGAAAGTTAAGCCTTGAAGATTTTATTCTTTGTAGGCTTCTGTGTTTAAACATACCAAGTGTGAAATGTTTTATTAAGTTATTGATTTACAATAAATACATATAGGTAATTAATAAACAAGAATAAATAAATAAATATCTTTTATGTTAGTGGTCATGTTGGTTTTCAAGGAAGATTTCTTGCAATTGGCGTGGTTTTAGTTTAGGCTTGTATATGTTTTTTGCAGATCTTGTAATGAATTTTTTAGTTTCATTTAATTTAATCATAGTTATAATTAGTTAAAGTTTTTGTATTGTTTAATTATTTTTGTTGATAGGTAGAGAAATCCCGTGTCATTGTGCAGTTATTTATTTCACATAAATCAATAAGGAACTTTGAATTTATTCTTAAGATTTTTTTTTAATTTACATTTTTCTTTTAGTTTTAATTAGGTAAGCGGTAATCCGTTCAGAGCAGGTGCAAGTTAGTAGTAGTTGAGGGTATTTTATCAGCATAGTTGAAATGTGGTATAATAGAAGATATAGAATTTTTTCCTTATGTATCTTTGGCTTATTTTTTTTTTATTTATGTGAATTTTCCAAGTTAATTTATCGTCGAAGCGTATTTATAATTTATTGATTCATCTTTGCTGTTCCATTGGATTTAGCTGAAATTTGTACTAAGACCAGATTGAAGCATTTTTATTTTAGCTTAATTTTTAGTGGAATTTAGAGTAATTTTTTGTCTTTGGAAGTTTGGAACCACTGAAATATTCAGTATAGGAGTTTTTTAGATTCTATTATTTTGTTTTGTATTAAATAATTGAAGTGTCATCTGCAACATTGCCAATTATAACAATGATTTTATGTTGGTATGTCATTATATATTTGTATATTAATATATCTACATATTATCATTGTTTTTAAATTTAAGACAATAATTGTGTAATTCAAGTTGTGGAAACGAGAATACGGAGATAATTAGTGAGATAGATGCACTATAAGAACTAAGAACTGTTTAATTATTTTGTAATATTTCATATTAGTGCTAAGAATTTTTAGTTTTATGAAATTTAAAAAAT